ATATGAGCAATCAAAGGGTTAACATAGTGTCCCATTTGGGCTTACTCGAAAGGACTTATTTGCCCTCAAATGCAACCCTTATCAATCGAGGTCACGATATGATGGTACTAACTACTAATAAATATCCTTTCCATATATATGTTTATATTTATGCACGTGTATATGTATTATGTATATATCCTATCACAATTTTACTATGGAGCCATCAGATGATACAATTTATAGAATCATTCTCACTTATTAGAAAATATTTTATTGACACGTGTTCTATAATAAATATATTTTGAACATGTGCCATTACATTAAATGATAAATGACTCCATAAAAAAATTATCCAATGCCGCTCCATAGATCGTTTAATGTGTTGTACTTGCAGAAAATTTTGCAAAAAATAAGATCGTTGAAAATAAAATTGAGGCATGTAAAACATGTTTATAGGACTGGCGTGATGAATATTTGTTTTGCATGATTAACGGACTAATTCTGGTGAATTCAAAATACAACAAAAAATTCAATTTTGATTCGTTTATTTGTCTAAAGTCATTTTTTAATTAGTACACTAACTTTTCTTCGTCAACAATAGTATGTTATGTTACAATTTGTATCATTATTGGGACATTACCAAAAAATGATTCATTACTTTTTGGGTTTAATGTCTTAACAGTTAACACTACACTTCAATTCGAACAAAAAATTCTAACGGCAAAAATTTCCTTTAAAAATTCCAATGAATATTTCAACAAACTTAATTTTATGTTAGAATAAGTGTTGGATGGTTGAAGAATTCTAACGGATTTTTTCCGTTAGAATAATTGTAGGAATTTATTTCCGTAGGATTCTCCGTTGGATTTTAGCTATTCAACCGGCCTTTTTTCCACGAATTTTTATATGTTGTAATATCCGCTGGAATAGCTATTCCAACGAAAAATTTTCGTTGGAATGTAAGAGTTTTTTTTGCAGTGTAAAAAGATACAAATTGCAACATAACGTACTGTTTTTTATGGGTCATGTCCCAAAAATGATACAAATTGCAACATAGTTTACTATATTTGGTAAGGATAAAGTTAGTTTATCTAAAAAGAACTTTAAACAAGTAAACAGACAAAAATTGAAAATTTTCCTCAAAATACACTTAGACTTTTAACAAGATATATATCTTAAAAAGATGGGGATTTCATCAAAAATTCGGTTTCACATAACATGTCCATATACATAGACAAACAAATTTAGATCACTCATTCAATATATGCAGTAATCTTGTGAGTTACAAAATGAGTTGCATGTATTAAGCTTTGGATGTTGCATAATTAAGGCCACGATATATCAGTCTCTTATGTTACTACACATTAATTATGACAAAATTTAAAAATAGTCCACTATTTTGACCATTTTCCGAAAATAAAGGTCTATCATATATGATGTTATCAATAATGGTCCACTAAGTTGTTACTTCAATCATGATTCGTACAAAAAATCAACATAGTATATTAAAAGTGATCGTTTTTAGTTGTCATTTTTAGTTTACTATGTTGGCTAATGTGAGTAAAGTAGCAACTTAGTGCACCATTCTTGATGACACCCTATATGATGAATCTTTTTTGAAAAATGACCCACATAATATATATATTGAAAATGAAATTCTCAGGCTAAATTTCATTTTTAGTACACTATATTGGACCTTTTTCTGAAATATGTACATCATATATGGTGTCGTCAATAATGGTCCACTAATAAGTTTCCACTTTTAAATCAAAACTCGTGCAATAACCAACATAGTGTACTAAAAATGGCCATCACTTTTAGTACACTATCTTGTTTTTTGTATGAATTTTAATTAAAGTAGTAACTTAGTGGATCATTCTTTATGACGCCCTATATGATGGACCTTTTTCGGAAAAATGGCCAACATAATCTTTCAACAATAATCAAGGAATTGAGCATTCAATAATTAACTCGCATAATTAATGGTGACAGCTTAGATGGGGTTATGGAAGTGGGCACATTGAGATCAATGGAACTGAGTATCAACTTCAGCAATGCCATTGGCATTCTCCTTCTGAGCACACTATTAATGGCAGAAGGTACGTACTCTATTTTTCTTTTTCTTTTTCTTTTTTTTTGGATTTTTATTACTCAAATTATAAATTAAACGAATTATGTGATAACGAAAATATTACTTTTACTAATATATAGATTTGATATGGAGATTCATCTACTTCATCGGAGCATCGATAACCAGACTGCTGTGATAGGAGTCATGTACAAAATCGGACGTCCCAACTCTTTCTTGACCATGGTAGTTACATATTAATATACCTACATGACAAATAAAAAATGCATTTTAAATTTTTTATTTATGTATATATGTATCTAACTATATTTTTTTGACTAACGATTATTATTTTTTTTTTTAATGCTATAAAAAGATGAAACATCATTTGAATGCCCTTGCTGAGACGAGAGATGTAGAGAGAGCTGTTGGAATAATTGATCCTGAGCTCATTAAATTTGGCAGTAGAAAATACTATCGGTACATTGGTTCACTTACAACTCCGCCCTGCACCGAAAATGTTATTTGGACAATTGTGAGAAAGGTGATTAAACATACAACTTATAAGTTTGTTTATTTATTTATAATTTAAGTTACTTTAAAAATTTAAAATAATATAAATTCTCCATATTGTAATTTCATTTTTATTTGATTTACTAGGTGAGGACTGTAAGCCGGGAACAAGTCGAATTGATTCGAAATTCTGTCCATGATGTAAGTCATCCCATAAAATTGACATGTTTATTTTATTTTTCTTGAATTTTTTTTTTCTTTATTTTAACTCATAACTGTCGATGTCATAAAATTATGGTATTTATTTATGCAGGATACTGAAACAAATGCTAGACCAATTCAACCGATGAATGATCGTACGGTGGAACTTTACAGGCCAAGTGATCGTCAACATTGAAATTTAGCATTATGAACTAGTAGCATGTAATATATTTGTCATTATACTGGTTTGGATATTTGTAGGTGTATACATTATGATGAATCAGGAATTATGTATGTGTATCCCTCCCCTCCAAAGGATTGATCTATAGATCATTATATATATATATTGATATGGTCCGAGATCGATGGCTCCGGTCTTGCGGAAGGTTCTTCCCGGTTATGATGTTGGTTCACTTGATTCGGTCCGGTCTGAGCTTGAGTGTTCTCCGGTACCTGAAAGCGCGCCGGAATTTCTCCGGCGCAAGCCCTCCGACGCCCAAGTTAGGATCTCGGATTTAGAGAGAGAATTATGTGTAATAAATGTTGTAGTAAAATATTAATGAAGTCTTACCTTTCTCTAGTGAATTAACCCTTTATATAGTGTCTGAGTTGTACGGCTCCGCGTACCGAAAATCTTGCTAGTAAGGATCAAACCGGGATTGATGTTCGACCACTTACCTGTGGTGTTGACGTGCGGCCTTGGCTATGAGGATTAGACTATGGCCAATGTTCGACCCTCGCCGTACGGGCTCCATAGGTCGATCGCTAGGGGGTTGATGCCTTGCGGGT